AAAATTTAGAGCTGGGAGGGATCTTAGAGGCTATTTTAAAGATGAAGAAACTGAGGCCCAAGGAAGTTAATGGACTTGCCCAAGGTCACACAGCTAGTAAGTGTCTGAGACAGGATTTGAACCCAGGTCTTCTTGACTCCAGTGCTCTAGCCAGTGCGCCTCTTAACCCTAACCCTACCCTTCAAGTGGGCCTAAGAGAGAGGATGTGTTTGAATGACTCTAGAGGACAGTGGTATCCTTCAGATCAGGAAATTGAAGCCAAGTGAGGTTAAGTGACTTGCTTAAAGTCACACAATTAATAAATGGGAGAGTTAGAATTTGAACTCAGATCCTTTGATTTCACATTCAGTGTTCTTTCTACCCCAGTGCACTGACTCATTACAGAAATGTATCCTTGTGGCCCTGGATACAGGGTCATAACTTAAATTTTCTAAGCCTCGGTTTCCTCATCTGTAAAATGAGAGTGATGACAACACAGGGCTATTGACCTTAGAGGGTTCGTGGAAATGATGTATGTAAAGAAAGCCCTTTACCAACTTTAACTTACAAGGTAAAGGCGAGATGTTCTGAGCAATCTGATAACATAATGCCCACACTGATGTCTGGCACAAAGTGGGCTTAGAACAAAGGCTTGTGGGTGAGAACACATTACAGCCTCGGTACACTCTCTCTATCACCCTTTGGATGGTTCATTGGGATTGGGGTATTCCAGGTCTGATGGCCTTAGGGCACCATCGGAAGAATGCTGGGGTCTCAAAGACATGCTTTTGTTTCTGGAGTATGCTTGGGGCACAGAGGATCAAGGACCCTTCATGGCTAGAGCTTTGGGGTTCCTACCCTCTCTGGGAAACTGAGGGAAGTTTCTGAGAAACTGAGGGAAGATATAGGTTATATATGTGCAATCATGCAAAACATTTTGTGCAAGAATACTCAAAAGAGAAAGAAAGAAAGGAAGAAAGAAAGAAAAATAGTATGCTTTAGTCTGTATTCAGCTGACATCAATTTTTTCTCTGGAAGCAGATGGCACTTTTCATCATGAGTCCTTTGGGATTGTCTTGAATCATTGTATTGCTATGAATAATGAAGTCATTTATAGTTCTTCATCATATAGTATTGCTGTTAGTGTGTACACTGTTCTCCTGGTTCTGCACACTTCACTTTGCATCAGTTCATGTAAGTCTTTCTAGGTTTTTCTGAAATCATCCTGTTTGTCATTTCTTATAGCACAATAGTATCCATTACAATCCTATACCACAACTTGTTCAGCCATTCCCCAACTGATGACCATCCCCTCAATTTCTAATTCTTTGCCCCTACAAAAAGAGCTACTCTAAATATTTTTGTACAAGTAGGTTCTTTTCTCTTTTTTTTGATCTCTTTAGGATACAGACCTAGCAGTGGTATTGCAGGATCAAAGGGTATGCACAGCTTTATAGCCCTTTGAGAATAGTTCCAAATTGCTCTCCAGAATGCCTGGATCAGTTCACGACTCCACCAACAGTGTATTAGTGTCTCAGTTTTCCCACATCCCCACTGGCATTTAACATTTTCCTTCTCTGTCACATTCACCAAAGTGATGGGTGTGGCTACTTCCCATTTATACTGTCTATGTATCATTTATGAATCTGGCTGTTTGCATGTGGAGTCTCCCAATAGAGCGTGGGCTCTTTTTTCCTGTATTGGTATCCTTAGTGATTAGGTCCATGTACATATATGGAAAGTACTCAGTGAATGTTTGTTGAGTGATAAACATTTACATAGCATTCCCAGGTTTCCCAGGGCTAGACATCTAACATCTCATTGGGTACTGACCACAACTCTGGAATGTGGAGGCCATTATCATTCCCATTTTAGAGCTGGCAGGACTCAGAGGCTGTCTCTTCAACCCACTTACATTGAATGACTTATCCAAGGTCACACAGGCAGCAGGTGGCAGAAGGACTCTCTGAATCTGAGGCCTCTGACTCTAGTCGGTTTTCTTCTCACTGAATCCTGCTGACTCCTTAGTAATGGTGTGTTTTGAGTCCCAAGTGTTTGAAGGCCCTCTCTGTGGAGAAGGGATTGGGCTTATTCTGTTTAGCCCCCAACAGCAGAACAAGGAGCAATGTCTGTGGATTGGGGTAGCCGCAAAGAGGCTCCAGTTTAAGCTCAATGTTAGGAAACATTTCCTAATGATTATGGTTGTCCTAGGTGGAATGGGCTGATGACCACTTGTCAGGTACATTATGGTGGGTATCCCTTCATGTATGGCTCTGACTAGATGGCTGCTCTTCAGTTCTGGCTCTCTGTGATTTAAATGGTGCTTCCTTAAGGTATATAAAGAGCACGTGTATCTATATCTATATTTAGGCTATATCTGCATAATCTGCTTCTAATCTTGCTTCTAACCCTATAACTGTGTCTTTCTTTTTTCTGTTTTTCTCCATCCATCTATCCATTTGTCCAGTCTCATTTGATCCTCACAACAAGCTTGGGAGGTAGGTATTATGATTACTCTTATTTCAGAGATGGGGAAACTGAGGATCAGAGAGGTTAAATGAACCCAGGTCTACCTGGACATCATACTGCTTTCCATTAGAAATATCCATAACGAATAAAATGAACATCTTATTTCTCTGTCTTCATATCAAAAGTATCACCATCTAAATGTGCCATTAGTGAAGTTAAGCAACATTCTACTCTTGTTTCTTCTAGGCTAGGTTCTGTTTGTGTGCTGGGTGGGCTTGGCCTGGTGTTTGGGTGGTCTGTTTCTCCCTTCATTTCTGCTGTTTGTTCTTTAAATTGTGTATTTTTAGAAGGAACCTGAGAAAGGTTTCCCTTTTCTGCATCGATCTATTTCTGAAGATGCTTAGTTTACCTCCTGTGCATCTGCTTCTTTTCCCAAATCTGAGCTTCACCCATTTCTCACTGATTAGACTTTTGTCCCTTCTTTCACATTGATGCTAAGGTCACCCAGGCACTGTTTCTGAAGGTCAATCTCTTTGTTCATGACAGTGGACATGAAATGGCCATTGGGACCAGATCTTTTCTTTGCTTACTAATGGCAGCATCTTACAAGTCTAGTGTGCTGGGTAAAGTCCAACAAATGCTGAAAAAATAATCATGTTTGGGCCAAAGTCATAGAAATGCATTGCATTCCTTCCTTAGAATCTCAGTCTCAGATTAAAGGTGAAGGGTGAGAGAGAATGAGAGGGAAAGTGTCAGGAATAGGTTGGCATCATTTCAGTTAAGAAACACTTATTTGTCAAAAAGATGGTGCCAGAACACAAGACTAGACCACACACCCATCAGTTTCTGCTTTGAATTCTGTTGCTAGCTGTGTGTGAATCCTTCTACTGCTTTGGGTTTCCATCCTCCCGGTGAAAAACCCAAATTCTCTTTGCCAGGAGGTGCTCTATTGGACTTGTTCTGCTCTGAAGTCTCAGTGAAGTAAGTGACTGGTCCTGAGGTCTGGCATCCCACAGTTCATGCTTTGAAAATATACCTGGTTACGCTGCTTCATGTTTTTGTAAATTATCTCTCTCTTGTACTTAGGACATTTAAAGAACGAACTGTAGAATCAGGGGACCTAGGTTCAGATTCTGCCTCTGATATATAAACACACACACATGCATGTATACACATACATGTATATATACATATATGTATATGTACACATGTGCACTTCTACATTTTATACACACATATAAATTTCTTGAGAGTAGAGATTATTTCATTCTTTGATGTGTCCCCAGTACGTAGCACAGTGCCTAGTGTATAATAGGTGCTTATTAAAGCTTGTTGATTGCTTGACTGTGTGACCCTGGGTAAGTCACAAGGTCAAAACTAGTTTCATAATTATACTAAGACATTTTAATCTCTAATACAACAAACATGGATAGATATAACCCACATAAACAAAAGCTCTTTGGGAGGTCCTCAATATTTTTTAAGAGTGTAAAGGGTCCTGAGACCAGCAAGTTTGAGAATGACTGCTCTAAGGCTCAGGATTTCTGGTGACTCACTGTTTTACATCAACAGCGAGAGTTTCTATCTGCAGATTTCCCTACATGGACAAACTCATTCCTGGACCCCAACCATAACACATGTATGTGTACAGCACCTCAGAGAGAGCAGATGGAAAGCCAGTTCCCAGGTCAGGAAGACCTGGGTTCAAGTCCCCCCTTTGACACATATGTCTGTATGATATAGAAAAGTCACTTTAACCTCAGAGTCCCCCACCCACCCACCAACCCACCCAAAGTCTCCAAGACTATAAATTGCAGATTTTCCTTGAGAGAGGAAGTTCTTCACTAGGCTCCCTGGGCCAAGGAAATCATAGGTCATACACACACATGCATACATAGATAATTATATATATAGTGTGTAAATACAGATACACGAACCTCTGTGTGCAAACATATACACACATACATGCACATGGAGAACTTGATGGCTTATAAAGTATTTTCTCATAACAACCCTGAGAGGTAATTAGTGAGATATTTTTTCCTGTCTTCAAGATGAGGAAACAGATTTTGAGAGGCTGAGGATTTTTACTAGGGTCACACAACAAGTGAGAGTCAGAGTCAGGTCCTGAACCCAGATTCCTTCTGTCTCCAAGAGCAGAGTGCCTACCTCTCACTTACCTCCCATCCAGGGACAATGGGCTACAAGCTGCTCAAATTCCATCCTCTACAAGTTGTTCCTGATCTCCTTTAATGCTGATGCCTTCCCTCAGAGATCACCTCCAATTTCATCTTTTGTTGTACTGAATTGTTTGTATGTTGTTTTGCCTGTGTGTGAGCTCCTTGAGGGCAGGGACTGTCTTCTGCTTCTCTCTGTATCCCCAGCACTTAGCCTAGAGCTGGTACACAGTAGGCACTTAATGAATACTTGCTGACTTGCCTCTGTATGTCCAGGTGTCTTGAGAAGCCCAACATTCCACTGGGTTCACAAAATCTGCAGCCCAGACCTCACTTTTCCTCCCACCCTCACGTCCAAGTTCTCTTCTCTCCTAGGTGACCATGGCCAGCACTGGAATCAATGGAGGAGAATCACTGGAAACCTGTGAGAGGGTCCTCTTTGCTCTCCGCATGGCCACGTGGAATCAGATTTTGGATCCCTGGGTGTACATCTTGCTGAGGAGAGCTGTCCTCAAGAACCTCTACAAGGTTGCCCAGCGGTGCTGTGGAGTGCGCACCATCATCAGCTTGCATGCCTGGGAGCTCAGCTCCATTAAGAATTCCTTGAAGGTTGCAGCCATTTCAGAGAGTCCCACTACTGAGAAAACAAGCTCACAGCCACCCACCCCTGTGGGGCAATGAACCCGTAGAGGCACAGTAAAGATGAGATGGGGCTGAGGCCATTATCCTGTTAACTCGATAATTACAGCCTACAGGTTTGAGGGCTGGGGCTGTCATAGCTGATGTTGTTGTATATAGTCATTGAATTAACTGGATAATTGCAAATCTCTGCTTTGCTTTATGTAGACACAGCCTCAAGGCAAAGTGTGTGATAAAATGACATGAGGGCCATAGACTGAGGTCAACTTTGTGGCCAACTGTATTGATGACTAGGTGCATTCTCCAAGGTTGACCAAGGAGTCCCCAAATGAGCACTTAGACACCCTATCTAGAGCTGAACTGGAGGGGGGCTCAGATGTCATCATTATACAGATAAGGGAACTGAGGTCAAGGGAGCCTATTGACTTACCTAGGACCACACCGAAGTAAATGTGAAAGGTGGCCTGGGGAATCCACATGGCTCTGGTTTCTGACTGGCTGGTACCCAGCTCTGTCATGAGGCCCATGAGGCCCACTCAGTGGGTTGATATTGCTGTATGTTTCTGGTCTGATCTCTCAGTGATTTTAGAGGCATCCTAGGCCACATCACAGAACCATAGAATGGGAAGTGGGAAGGGGCCATCTTGTCTGACCCAAACCTGAAAAGAATCCCCAGTAGAGCTTAGCTGGCAAGTGGCCAGAGATCCTTGGTTTGGAGACCTCCAGGCAGTCCAAGGCACTTCTGGCCCAGCTCATTAATTTCCTATTCTGAGGTACACTCAGGATTCATGACCTTTGTGTGTGTGTAGCCAGTCTATACATTTCTTAATGGTCAATGTATAAAGCCCTGGATGGGGCTTATGGAGATTATCAATCTAAGAAGTAGGCACCAAAGTTGTATCCAATTCAAATCCATTCTGTAGAACTTTATTGAGGACCTACTATGTGCCAGATACTGTGCTGGGCACTGAGGATAGACACAAAACAAGAACAGTCCCTGCTTTCAAGGTGGTGGGGGTGGGGATGGGCATGGGCACAACATGTATACAGCTGACTGAACCCAAAACGTCTACAAAGTCATTATGAGTAGCACGAACAATGGGGTGCATTGGGAAATTTGCATATCTTGTAGGAGGTAGCCTTTATTCTGAACCCTCATCAATTTAGATTTCTTTGGCAAAGCCTCTAGACCACCAGAGCTGGTTGGTTGCAGCCCTCCAAGGCCACCACCTAAATGTGATCTGTATCAGTGGATGGACTATTCACATGGAGGACATCACAGTTCCTGGAAATGGTCAAGTCAGGAGATGAGAGTTGGTGGGCTTTCACTAGGGGAATCACCAAAGAGGACCTTTTCACCTGAATGATGTTGGAGACATCAGTCTTATCCAGGGAAACTAAAATTGAAGGAGCGGCCCCATTAATGGCCACCCTTCAGAATTTCAGCCCTGTCCATGCAGGGCTCACCAATGTAATTGAATAATAATTAACTTCATTGAAAGCATAGGGAAATGTGGGACCTCAGAGCCTGTCAAGTTTAACCCCCTCATTTTACAGATGAGGAACTCAGGGCTAGAGAGGTTCAATGACTGACTGTGTTAAGTAGCAAAGCAAAGCTTCAGAAGAGTCCCATGAGTCCCAGGCTAGATTTTTCCCCCTTCCCAACATTATCTAGTGGAGTCATGTTGAGTTCCTTTAGAAGCATCACCTGAGTGGGCATCAGAGCTGCTGATGGTTCCTTTCTCCCTGTGGAAGCTGGTGATATCTAGGTGGTTGTGGCTAAGAAGACCAGATGATAAGGATTTGATCCCAATTGTGCTAAGGGAGTGACTTAGAAATCTGAGCTTTGGGGGCCCATAAATTGTCCATGCAATTTCTCAGCTGTGAGGCATTTTCAGTGTTGGATCTTGCACTTGTTGAGGACAAAGACCTTGTGCAGATTTCCATGACTAACCTGAGCCCCCCACATATTCAATCTCGAATCTGATGGCAAGTGCAGACCATGTTGACCCCACTATCCACTTTTGGGTGGAAGAAAACCTGAAAAATGAGCTTGATTGTAGGTAGAAAGTTACATCTTCTCATAGTCAGTGTAAATATGGCAAATGGAACATGCCTAAAGCTTATGTTACCTCTCTGTGCAATGTAGTAAGCAGTCTTGCCTGGTGCCTGTATTTTCAAGTGTGACTTCCCTAGGTTAGAACCCCAAGGGAGGGCCTGCTTTTGGTAAGGACAGAATTGCTCTTGGTAAAATCTGTTGATGACTTTGTCTGCCACATCATTTCTGCTTCCTCTTAGGGGACTGGATGGGAAGGATGTAAATATGCTGCATATCATTGCTTAATCCATCATTTGGGTGTCACAGTTCAAGGTAACAGCTGCCAAGCAATGTGGGACACTTGAAAGTGACCATCTGCTCACTCCGCCATTGTAATGGTGTGCTAAATGCATGTGCTGCCTTGGACTTTATCGTGTGAATTAATGTATTTTGTGTTCTCTGTTCTGGCTGACATGTTGAAAAGGTTCAACAGTGATGTGTATATTTGGTTGCTTGTAGTCTATGTACCAGTATTGTAATGAATGTAATGCTTCATTAAATGTAAAAATTTAAACAAAATGTCTGTTTCACACGTTGAACATAGCAGCATTTTCAAAGTAGGGACTGGCACTTTTGGAACACCAGAGAAGAAGGTCTGTGGGTCATCAGAGGGGAACTGGGACTTAGTATCAAGCTCTGGACACATTCTGATTGGGTGACCTTGGTCCATGAAGAAAGTGCTGACTTGAATTGGTGGAGTTCCATCCACCATCCAGGAGTTCCATCCATCATCCAGGAGTTCTCCTTCTTAGAGAAATCACAGGTCCAATCCCAAGCCCTCTTATCATTATCATCATCATCACCATCATCACCATTCCATTATGATATGTCAGACTCTATTCAAGCCTAAAGGTCTGGGTTACAAAGAACTCTGTGGATCAAAATGGGAAATTTAGGGAGACTCCAACATCTAGACCCAAAGGAATTTTCATCCTCTAGCAGCTCCTCAGGGACCATTTGGCCTCTTCTGGCTGCACCCTTTCCTCTATTCCCTCTTGGGGGTGGTGGATACGAGTGCTCACTGCCTTGCTTTGTGGTCTGGTTCTGACCATGGTGGCTCATACACTGGTTAGACTTGGCAAGTATTTCATCATCTGTAAAATGAAGTGGTTGAGTTAGATGCTCTCTAAATTACTTCTAGCCTTAAATTCACTAGGATCCTAGGAACATACCCCTCCCTTATTTTTAAATTGTAGGGTCATTCCCGAGGGCTAGAATGTAAACAGGAAGATACACAAAGGCAAGGAACTTTGGCTAAGATTACATGTTTGCAACACCATGTGGTGAGATGGTCTGCCCAAAGAGGTGCTCTGAAAGGGGCTGAACGTAATCATGGACTTCTGGCTGAACTAGCCTTCAGTCATGCTCGGGAGCCATGAAACAATACTGGGCTAGAAAATTAAGGTGAGGTCATAGGATCTTACATTCATCTCAAAACAGCTCAGCACAAGGTCAAAGAGAATCCTATGTGTTTATTGCTATTGCATTTTGATCTGGTCATTTAAGTCACTGGCAGAATGAAAATGACAGTACCCTTGGTCTTATAAGTTGAATGGAGACAGGATCATTTACTATCTCAGGGAACATTTTCATTTCCATTGAGAAAAGGAAATGAATTTTGGCTATTCAGTTCCAACCTTCACCAGCTCAAGGGATCAGGGACCAATCTGCACCATCCAGTGGTGGGCTCACCAGCCATCTATTTTCACTGGTGTTAGGCATAGTTTGGCATGTTATAAGGACTGGGTTATCATTGGAGGGAATATTGGAGGTCATCTCAATTCTGCTAGGAATTCCTAGCAGAGCTCCTATTGGAGCTATGATGGTTCTTTCTACCTTTTGACATTCACCAGGTCATGACCTGGTCCACTCTGTCTCCCATATTGTCATCTAAGATCAAGAATGAATAAATAAAACAGAGACAGAAACAATGGTGCCATGTGTTTATGGCCACATGGCAGCCCAGTTGTAAAGAGAAGCGGTAGTCTTATGATGCCTCTGCTACTGCATCTTTCCACACCTGAAAATTCCTGACATTTGTTCTTTCTCTTCCCCTTGAAAGTCACCAAAGAAGAGTGTTATTTTGCCTGATTATGCCTTTTGTATCACACACTCAATGCCAGATCAGCAACCAGTTAAAAACTGATGGGAAGCTGCCATAGGACATACATGTGTGCTTGAAATTGGGAGGAAAAGGCCCCCAAACAGTACACCATGCAGCAGGGGGCTCACCAGTCATCCATTTTCATTGGTGTCAGACATACATTGGAATGTTCTAAGGATTGGGTTCTCACTGGCCAGTCCCCTCCATTGGACAGAGAAGCAAATGTAAAATGATGCAAAGTAGTCTCAAAAGGTCAAGAATGCTAACTCCTTGGAGGCTTCAGGAAAGGAATCATGGAGGAATTAGCACCTGATGAGAGGGATTTGTCCAGTTTTGCCAGTGATAATCTCATTCTTTTTCCAACTCTTTGTGCACTGTCCTGCATAAAGCCCAGTCATTCCACATTGCTTCTAGGGTTAAATACAAACTCCTCTATTTAGCATTTAAAGACTTTCACAATCTAGCTTCAACTTATGTTTCCAGCCTTAGCAGCAGGTAGATGGTGCAATGTATGAAACACTGGGCCTGAAATCAGGAAGACCTGAGTTCAAATCAAGCCTCAGTCACTTGCTAGCTATGTGACAAATCACTTAACTTCTGTCTGCCTCAATTTCCTCAACTGTAAAATGGGGAGAACAATACACCTATCTTTCAGGGTTGTTGTGTGGATCGAATCAGACAGAGAGCATCATAATTTACAATAAACAACAAGAAAAAAGAGTAATATGTGAAAAGATATGGCATTTGATTAAGATTTAACCCCAAATTATTTAAACAAACTACTAAAAATAAAAATTGGAAATGGAAAACAGAAATGACATCGAAGTTGACTACAATAATTTCATCCAAAAGCTAACTAATGTAAATAAGCTGCTACAAGGAGATTAAAAGAGTCAGCAAACTTTTTACTTACATGCTGAACAGGGAGGGATGGCTGCTAAAGGCAATACTGGGTTATGATATAAATATTTCTGTGAAATTTCACCAAGAAAGATGATAGATGATTATGAGCAACCTAGTCTCATAGAGCAGAAAAGGGTATTGGAAGGTAAAACTGGTCTTTAAAAAGTTTGACAAAATAGTCAACTAATCATTCCAAAGGCATTCAGGAATGAAAATGGAAAGAGGAGTAGAAAAAGCAGAAAAATAGAAAAGAATTGTAAAAAAAAATTACAATGAACTATTTTCTCCATCAGGGAGAGTGGATATACCATAATTGGACCCTCACATACGAGTCTCTGAGATGCTTTTAGAGGAAGTAAAAATGACATTTAAGAAAGCAAAGGCAGGAAGAGCAGCTAGTGTAGGGACAGAGGAAAAAACACTGGTGCTGAAGGACCAGTGTATAAAGTATCAGAGTGAGGTTTAGGGTTAGGAACAGAAAAAATCTTGGACCTTATTGCTTCTAAAAATGGCCCTCTCTACTGAATATGTTGGAATGTTATCTATCTATGAATTGGGGCATTTTTGATGACAGTATTAGGAGGGCTGGAATTCTTTTGCAAGTGATATTCAACAATGGACCACATTTTTACTATTTTATAATTGACAGAAAGAAGCAGAAAATATAAGATTTCACTGTGCTTGTTGTATATTGAGTAAGAAAAAGAAAAGCATTTGACACTGCCTTGCAGGTTATTTTACAATAAGTTTTGTCCCATTCATATATCAAGATTATTTAAAATTCCTTGGAAGTTGTTACATTAGAAGCAACTCTATTCAATGACTCTCTGAGAATAAACATTGGTTGAGCCATAAAATAGGGAGATGCATTTTGTGATACATACAGATAAATATATTTGTGTATATATATATACCTATGCACATATACATATATACACATTATGCATAGCTATATAGATACAGTTATATACAGACTGAGAGATAGATGATTTATAGATATAGATATGGGGTCCAAAATATCTTAGTCTTTTTGGAACACCTTGCTTTTCTATATGTACATATATAATTTCATATACATATATGTATATATGTCTACACACATCTGCTAACCACCTCTTTGTCAGGAAGCAAGTAGCATGTTTCATCATGAGTCTCCTGGAAGCCTGGTTGGGAACTGTGTTCATTAAAATTTTTAAGTCTTTCAAAGCTGTTGTCTTTACACTATTGTTGATATTGTATAAACTGTCCTCCTGGTCCTGCTCACTTCACTCTGCATCAGCTCATACAAGGCTATCCATCATTCCACCTTATTGACAAAGAGATCAAGGTCTTCCAATCACCTTCTTTGCACAACTGTCCAAATCTCACCTGAAAGCTGGGTTTCTTCATACCCATATTTTAGCAGTGTTTATTAAAACACAGTTCTTTTTTCTACTAGTACTGGGTATCAAAATGTTTACGTGTAGCTAGAAATATCTTACATCTTTTGATAATATGAATCTCTTTACACAAAAGCTTTTCCCCTCATCCTTTTCATCATTAAATTTGGTATGCCTCAGATGCATATAGAATAATGGAGTTGGACTAGACAATTTCAAAGGCTCTTTCAGAGCCAGGTCTATGATCCCATGGTCTTTCTGTCTTTGACCTCCTTGTAACTGACCCAGGAGTCAGGAAGACCACGTTTGCCACAGGGGTGCTGTGTGGTCATCAGGCACCTAACATCTCACAGCGGCAGTTCTCTCATTGTTCTCTAAGGCTGTAAGACATAGGCAAGTGACTGATCGGTATAGCGGAAGGGAGTTTCCATACTGAGAGCTTGCTGTAAGACTGAAATTACAGGTCTGGACAAAATGGTGAGTGGGAAGGAACAAGCATTTATCAAGTACCTACTCTGTGTCAAACACTGTGCTAAGTGATTTACAAATAGTATCTCTTTTGATCTTTACAACAACCCTGTAAAGAAAGTGCTCTTATGATGCCAATTTTAAAGTTGAAGGACCTGAGGCAAATGGAGGTTAAGTGATTTTGCCAGGGTCACACAGCTGCTAAGTGTCCAAGGTCAGATTTAAACTCAGAGCTTCCTGACTCCAGGTGTAGCACTGGGGCCACCTACTGGCAAATAGGACACATGTACATAACAATGAAAAGCAAAATACTCAGGAAAGATTTTGGAGTGATTTGGAAATATTATTTGCTGTTGCAAAATAAGGCAATGTCTACACCCCCAAAATGATTTAATTGTTTTAATTGCTTTGGTTTGATAATGACTCTAGCCCTCAGCCAAAGGATCTATGGATGGAGGCCCAGTCTCCAACTCCTTCTTCCCTTTGGCAGGCACAGAATCCCTTGGAGTTCTTGGGCCAAGCATGGGTGTGTTGCAATTCCAGTCTAGATTTTTTTTAGAGGAATTCCAGAACCTCTGGGCCCACCTGACATTTTCCTTCTTGGAAGGAGGGAAGCCTAAAAGGCTCCAACT